CTAGACGTGCGGGGTAAAAAGTAGTAATCCAACTGGATACAAGTAGAAATATTAATAAAATAAAACCAAATGTATTAAGTCAACTCGGGGTTTCCAGGCAAAATTTACGACGGACCAAACTCACCTCGCCAATAATGTCACCCGTACCGTAGTTCTACTCAGTCGAATCGCACGTCAGTACGCCCTTGGGTACACTGTTGTTGGTGACGTCATTTCCTTCGCTTCACGGTCCTTCGCATACGTTCCAGTATTGCTCGTAGTCCATGTCGTCCGTCTTAGGGCCCTTACACATCGCTGTGACGACAGGTAGTACCTCAGCCATAGCAGCACCTCAGACGATGCACTCAACAGATAGAGTGGCTTCCTTTCGAAAAGCGTCGGGGTCAGGCCCCAATTCGGACAACAGAATCCGACAATGTCAGAGTTAATTCGAGCGCCCTGACGGCCGCTCATCCTCTTGCCGTACGACTTCAAGTGGCGGGTCGCAGGTCACTCCAGAGGGGGAACGGAAACCGTGCCCAAGACGGTTGCCACCGTTCTCATTCGGGACAATTTTGTGTTTGCCTTTCATTTTCACTTTGACTAACATGTAAGTTATTTTCCAGTTCCTCATTTTTACTTGGCTTATCATTTCAGATTAAGGCATGCCTCCGAATTTCTTGAGATTGTTTACCTCAGAGTTGAACAGAGTTCTTTACTGGTTTGAATTGGGTAGTAAGCATCATTTGTGTTTGCATTGTCAATTTGACGTTTTTGTGTGTGTAGTGTATTTTCACTTTTTTATTTTTTTCTTTAGGATTATCGGTAGTGGCAGCGGCTCAGTGGCGTGCCTGGACATTGATTTCTCTTCTTTATGTTTCTTTGTGAACAATATGTAGCAACGATGATGGCAGTGGCTCGTAGGTTTGCCTACTTTGGATTCTCTTCTTTCAGTTTTAAATCAAAACGTTTGATTGTTGCACTTAACGTTAGCCTGAATATGCAAAGCATGGTGGCTTACTTTCTTTACACTACAATAGTAGGCATTATTAGTATACTGCCATTAATGTTTGTAGCAGTAGTGGAGATTGTAATATGACAGTTCCAACATTATCGTGGGCGATATTACAGCCCGTATGCTCCGCTTTTAGCGGTGGGTGACATTTCTGCCATGTGCTCCGCAAATAGCGGGTCAACGCGTAAACTATTCACCGTGGGCGCAATTACAACCCAAATGCGCCGCCTTTAGAGGGATCAATACGCAGTGCGTATGGTGCGAATTCCAGGGAGATTTTTCCTCTAGTTCGATACCGCGTGGCAGGCGTTCTGCTCACCGCGCGCAGCTCGTTGGGAGCAACATGGCCTTGAGGTGCCGGTGGCACATGGTAGACTCCCGTGCGTCCTCTTGTCGGCGGCCCTGTTAAGACAGGTGGCGCTCTGCGTTTGAGCTGCCCTGATTGGTAGGAAGCGTCGGGCTTTTATCCTGTTGAGGGAATGATTTGCGCAAAGTTGTTGGGACAGTACAGTATGGAGTGAGGACAAAAGTAGAGTGGTGTAGGCGGCGATAGTGGAGAAGAAGTCAAGGAGAAGACGGTAAAAGGAAAAGTGATGAATTAGAGAGTCTGTTGGTCTGGAGAGTAGTTATTCTCCAACAACCAGTCCAGTTATATATATGTCTCTTTATGAAATAGTACAGCTATAAAGACAGTGGTGACGTGGTGTAAACGCCATCCTTGTTTAAATCTAAAGAGCCAGGGTGTGGATACATGCACCGTAAAACTGTAAATAGTGTAGGGAAACAATTTTATTGCCACGACCTTTACATTATACACTGGAAATGTCTTATAGCATTGCTGTAGGTCTATATCCAATCTTACGGAGAAAACGATAATTGAATAGCCCATGCCAGCGTGAACATGGGCGTTTCAGCATCATTTTTGTTGGAGTAAGCGTCTCCGATGTGATGTTGACTATCTAGTGGAATATTTTACTTTTTTATATTTGTATCATTATGCGTTGACATGTGAATACCGGTAGAGATAATTCACTTTGAAGTGCGCAGGGGTTATACCAGCGTGTTACTAGGTCGTGGAAGTAACACACAACTGGGGTAGCTGGCACTCCCTAAAGCTTCTGCCGAGTGTATTGCTCTCCACTAAGCAAGTTCCACACCTTTGCCCGTCCAAACAGAGAATAATTTCAAGCAAAGTGGACAATTTGGTTTTTATAGTACAAATTTTAACTTTAGTAAAAGTAATCAACAAACAAACAGAGAAAGATCTCATCCAAAGCGAGACAAGGAAAGGCGATGGCTGGAAATCATTCGTGAAGGGGTGGTGAGGGTGCGTTGGCGCCAAAATGCGCGCGAAAACCTCGCCTGAAGCAAACCATCGCCTGAAGCAGTTCACTTTTCAATTCACCTCTTCAGACGAATGCCCTTCCAACCACTCCTCCGCAAGCACTCCCCCGCTGAGAAGCTCCGTGTCCTAGCTGCCCATCGCGCGGGACGCGCTGACTGGCTTCAGGTGGCCGCCAATAACGGCATATCGCGTGCGGTGGCATACCGCACTGTAGCCACAGAACGCGTAGAAGATCTACCGCGCGGTGGAGCTCGTGGTAGAGCTGTGAAGATGACACCAGAAGCAAAGTCCAAGCTGGAGGAATATCTTGACGACAATTGCACCTTCACCCTGGAAGCTATGCGCACGATGCTCTTTTTAGATACGAACGTGCGGGTCTCCACTTCAACGATCAGCCGCCACTTGCTTGGCATGCTGTTCACCGTCAAACAAACTCGCATAGAGCCCATGACATGCAACAACGAGATCAACAAGACCAAGCGGCAGAAGTTTGCAAAATCGCTGAAGGACCATCAAAAGAACGGTGACTGTATAATCTATTTTGATGAGACTAACTACAACGTTTACTGTACGCGAGGTCGAGGACGTGCACGGAGAGGTGAGCGTGCAACGCTCGTGATGCCGCCGTCCAAGGGTGCAAACTTGCAAGTCCAGTGCGCTGTAAGCTCGGCCATGGGTGTGGTTCTCCACCGTCTGGAGAGGGGAAGCATCCGAATGGAGCAGAATGCAGCTTTCATTGAGGAAATCTACCGGACGGTTAAGGCATCCTCCGTGTTTCATGACAGCTTCGCTGGGAAGAAGGTCATTATTGTCCTGGATAATGCCCCCGCTCACCGCCAAACCGAAGAACGTGTCGAAGCACGTGACGACCTCGTACTCCTACGACTCGGACCCTACTCACCGATGTGCAACCCGATTGAGGGTTGCTTCTCCGTTTTAAAAGCTCGAATCAAGGGATACCTGGCCTTGTACCGCGAAGAGATCTGCGACCGGAGTAACATGGTGGAAGAAGACGGCACCCCAATAACGATCAAGGAGCGCACTATGCGCTTCTTAGAGAAGGCTGCAGAATCGAGTATGAAGTATATAACACCTACGTTAGTGACGAAGATGGAGCTTCACGCTCGCGATGCGGTGAACGCGGCCGAGGAGATGAAAGACATGGTCTATGGGAAGTAGCTCACTGTGTCGTCTCGGTTTGAATGAGATTATTCTCTGATTCACTGGTAATTTTGATCCCGTAATCAGATATTTGTAATAATCAAAAACATATTGTCCACTTTGCTTGACATTATTCTCTGTTTGGACGGGACTGACTAAATGACTCTTTGTCTGTACTCTATGTATACATACTATGTATACTTGGCAATACATACCCTGTATATATTGCCAGCTCGGGCCGGCAATACTGAACTTCAATCATCACTCGATTGGTAGGCAGCAGCAACCCTGCCACTGCCAATCCGTAGATCAGTACTGCCGCCCACTGTAGTGGCTGGATGAGGCTACATGCCCCCAGCCCACTACAGACCCTCTTCTTAAAGACTCATCCAGCCACGTGGTATGATCTTCTCCTTGGTCTTGCACTTTCATGTCCACGCACTCGCGCTTCTAGACACTGCCATGCTCGTGACCTCTAATGGCAGGCACACACGCACCTCCACAACATCCCCAGGGTGAGATGCTCAGGTGTCAGGAACTCTCTGACACCACGTACCTTGGAATTGACGCCTCCGAGCTCGATGATCAAATGCCTGGCACACCCGCGCCCACAAGCACTGACACGACCCGACCTTGGCATCCACCCGGGCATGACGCTCCAGCATCCAGCACACTCGCGCCTTCCCGACACTGTTTCCTCGACGGCACCCACGATGTTCCGGTGTCGGCACACTCGCGCTTCTCAACCGTCACGCCTCAGATGCCTGCCGATTCTTGCGCTTCCCGGGGCTTGTTGTTTGAGTCCCGACGAGCGCGTTGGACGCCTTCACGTACTTGACCTTGGCATCCCCGTCCTCGGCTTCCAACGCTCCAGCGTCCTTGTACTCACGCCGTCGGACTCACGTTCTTGGGTCCAAGACGATCGCGCCCTCCGACACCTTAGACACCTCGACGCACTCGGACTCAGCATCCTCAGTGTCCGGAACGCTCACGCCCTCCGACCCCATGACTTTGGCACCACCTTCGTCGTCCGCCACACGCCATCTTGGATCTTGAACCTCTTCACTGACCCGGGCACTAAAGTTAACTTTGTAGTAGGTCGTGGAAGTAACACACAACTGGGGGAGCTGGCACTCCCTAAAGCTTCTGCCTAGTGTATTGCTCTCCACTAAGCAAGTTCTAGACTGACTAACTGACTCTTTGTCTGTACTCTGTGTATACATACTATGTATACTTGGCATACCCTGTATATATTGCCAGCTCGGGCCGGCAATACTGAACTTCAATCATCACTCGATGGTTGGCAGCAGCAACCCTGCCACTGCCAATCCGAAGATCAGTACTGCCGCCCACTGTAGTGGCTGATGCCCCCAGCCCACTCTACACAGCGTAATGATTTGATGGACGAGAGTACCGGTATTTAAATTAAGCCGAAGCCTCAGTGAGCTTTTCATTCAGCAATTTGCTACGAAGCCCTCACTTTTCGTTTTTGTCGGTGCGATGCCCCTCAAACTTGCCTTAACACCACGCTTAAGCTACTTCATCTTGCTGGCGGCCCTCGCTCTGCTGGTATGCATCCACAGTGGATCTAAGGTGGCTACGGCATCCAGCGTAATCGACGCCAGAAATGATGCTTTGGATCGCGAGGTGGGCGGTCAGATCCACCGATACTTGCGTGAGAGCAAGTGGACAGCTGAACAGGAAGACGGCAGCCCCGAGGCGAGGGCGATTGGAGTTAAGCTGTCAGCTGCTACGGTGCTTCAAAAGCTGATTAATTCGCAGCCAACGAAAAAACTTTCAACAAGAGCCATGGAAATTCTTACATCCAACAATCAAAGAGCTACCGACAAACTGTTTGCGAGTCTCGGGGTCTGGGAGGTGGAATCGAAGCTGTTTGCGTCTACTCCGTATCAGAAGTGGGCTGCATCCGTGATGAAATCCTACAAGAAGAACCCTGAAAAAGGCCAAGCAGCGATATTCTCTACACTTGTACGTCACCACGGCGATGACATTCTGGCCAAACTGGTATCAGAAGCACAGCCAACCGCAGCGGCGATAAGGACAGCCAAGAAAATTGAATCGATGCAGATAGCCAATTGGGTCACAAACAGAAAAACGGAGGAGGACATCTACAAGCTTTTAAAGCTGGACGCGGACAAGGAGGGTCTTCTGAGAAATCCGTTGTTGAATACGTGGGTTTCGTTTGTCAAAAAGCTTGATAACGAGGATCCGTACAATTTGTTGCTGCTCAAGTTGACAAAAACCAATGATGAAGAAGCACTAGCTCACATGCTAATTGCAGCAAAGGGCGATAGCCTTACAAGTAGTGTGGTTCGTAATCTGGAGAATGCACTGCTTACAGCCTGGCTGAGGGATGGTAAAACGACAGGTGACGTCGCCAAGCTTCTCCGACTAAACGCAGACAAGGGAGAAAGTTTTTTGCGGAGCGCGGCTCTGCCCACGTGGTTGTCGTACATTCGACAACGCAACAAAGATCCCAACAAAGTTTTATTCTTGGAGCTGCAGAATCGATTTAGCGACGCAGAGTTAGCCAGAGTGTTAGTCGCGGCGTCGAGGGACAAAAACGTGAAGATCAATGTTACTGCTCTACAAAAGTTACAGCTCAGTAAATGGCATGGAAGGGGGGACACGGCAGATGACATTTTCAGACATCTTGGACTAAGCAAGGAGGGTGAAGAACTCCTAGAGAGCTCAGTGTTTAATACTTGGGTGTCCTACGTGAAGTTAGTTGACTATACAAATACTGATGCCTTGGTGTTCTCAGTGATGAAGAAGCACTACAGCGACGAGATCCTCGCAAAAATGATTGCTCAAGCAAAAACAAGTGTATTAACGAGAGCCCTGGCTTCAAAATTAGCGGCGGAAATGTGGCGGAGCCCAGGGAAATCTGCGGATGATATTTTTAAGTTCTTTCAACTTGACAAAACAGGTGATGACCTGTTCGAGGCCCCGATGTTTGACGCTTGGATCTTGTATGTTGAAAGACTCAACAAGTACGAGAAACATCCAGATAAATTCGCTCTTTTTACGGAGCTCGAAAAACGCTTCGATTACGTGGACCTCGCACGAATGCTTAGCCATGCTAAGATCCAAGCCGAGATGAAAGGACATTCTGTAGAGCGTCTTTTCAGTTTGCGGAACCAGCAGTTCGATCAGTGGATGAACCAAAAGAGGTTGGATCCAGGAAGAGTCGCTGCACTGGTAGCCGAGCAACCGCGTGACATAAGAAACAACGGCGTCGTCCTCGGCTTCTATGACTTCTACAAGGCTAATGGTGGATCGCCGTTGTACTAATAGGGCGCCGAGGAGTTTATGGCTTAGTAGAGGTAGAACACTTCTAACAATGTTACACCTACTCCTCGAATTAGGAGCTTTAACTGTTTATCCTGGCAGTGTATTCGCACACGGATCATAAACACCAGATACAGCTCTATTAATACCTTTATCATGGGTCGGGGTTATTAATAAAGCCCGCGTGCTTCGCACATGGAGCGTAAACACAGGTAGCGTCCTATAATACCACGTGTATAAATCCTTGAGCACCCTGTAAACTAAGCTCAAAACCTCAGAGTGCGAACCCTGGCCCCTCTACCTCCCGCGGGGCTTCGGCGGCGTTGCTGCTATGGTTTTCTCTTGCAAACAAAGTCGCGCCTTCGGCCTGGATTTGTTTAAGGTTTGCTAAAGCTACATGTAGACTTACAAGGCTAAGAAAATGAACTAAGGAAATCATATCAACGAGCACACAGTAAATCTATTTTTGAAGCTGAAAAGAATTTATACTTTTTTAACGCTTGTCACTTTTTTTAAAGAGAATACCTTAATAAAAAGTATTCTCTGAGATTTATTTCAGAGTTTTACAACAATATGATTTACCTCTCTAATATGACGGTTTCTGGTTTTGATCGATTGCTCGAGAACTTCCAAAACCTGTATAAAACGGTTTTATCACAAAGTTTTGATGACCCCTTCTTTAATCACACTTTTATCACGGTGATGCGTTTTTATACCGGTTTTATCAAAACCGTTCTGCCAAAACCCTACATTAAAATTTATTTCGTTCCGAATAGAGTGAGGTTGATGTATCTAACATATTGATTCATTATTAACGGACGATCTTTACTAATTTAAATGGGACAAAAAACTGATAAATTTGTCTATTTTTTAAGATACCACCACGATGGCGCGCTGCCAGCGACCCCTTCCCTGCAACTCACGGCTTTCTCTCGCCTGATTCAAACGAGAGAGGGGCCCATGCGCGGCGCCAGCGTTCTTCTCGCGCTATGCGCGACGTCGCAAACGCGACACAATCTCGAAAAGTGTGTTAAACGGCTTCGTAAACGGCTGCATGAAGAGAGGAGGCGTGTAGAGTGGGAACGGTTGCTGCTCATGCGGTATTACGTGACCCTCGACTGTCTAAAACACCCCGAATAGTCGAATTGGATGGATTTTTGGCGTCGGGGCACCGAGTAGAATATGCTCAACAAAACTAGCCTATCAAGGTAGTAACTTACGACGATGTTTGTATGTGCCAGAGCAATGATTTGTTTTAACCTGTTATTTTTTTTTATTTATTTATGTGTGCCAGGGGCGCGTTTCAGCAGCTCTTGGAGCGATTCTCCCAATTCTACATCATTCCAGTATACAATCCAGCAGGCGGTCGGCCACGGCGGCTCCAGCACCACCACCAGGTGTCGAGCGTCGTTGTTCTTGTGCTCACCCTCAACGGTAGCACTGCGCGAGTAAGGGCTTCTCTTGTCGATCATAGTAACATTGACGGATAAACCAGGGTCTTCTCGTGTTCTCCGAACCCCGGCAACTCACCGCCCTCGTGTTGATCAGCAGGACGCGCCTCTGCCTTCTCTTCTCGGAGTTTGCTGCCAGGACAGGAATCTTTATCACCACATCTACCGAATTCCTCGATGAGTTGGCCCCCCGTGGTACATCAGCAAAGGGGGCCAACTCATCGATGAAGACCCTTCAGACACACATGCATATCATTGGTTAAAACTGCACGGATCTTCTGACCAGTGTCGGCTGCAAGTCTGTGATTGGACGTTAATCGGGTGGGGGGGGCCAACTCATTGAGGAAGTCTCTTCAAATGTTGCCCATCATTTAGTATAGGAAATCCGGGTGGGGGGGCAACTCTTCGGTGAAATTTGAGGGGGCCAACTCATCAAAGAATTCGGTAGTGATCTCGCTCGGCCTGAAGACCAAATAGTACGGAAAAATAATGTATCAGTATAAAAGAAACGCACAGCAATACGCACTCACCGGCCTGTAGTGAAGCCTCGTCACAGCTGCTTCATAAGGTTAGCACATATGATGGATGATCCAGATCTACGATGGTACGTACCGCAACCATGCAACGCCGACGTCTCGACGAGCCTTATGCGGCAGGCAGCAAATTCGTAAATGAAACGATCCTTAGTGGGCGCGAATTTTCGCGCCTTTGAAGCTGTCGAAGATCTCATCTTCAATTTCAAAATTTTTGCTAGTTAGGGGAGTCGCTTAATCATATACAATACGCAAGTCACTTATTTATCAGCTGCTAAATTAGGGTGCGTGATTAAAGAGGATAAAAGGTGATTAAACGCGAAGTTTGATGAGACGACTTTTTGGTCTCATCAAAAATTTCCATTTTATCACTAAGTTTTAATCACCTTTTAATCCACCCTAACCCCAATGATTAAACTTTTTATACAGGTTTTGTAAGGCCCCCAATAGCGCACCAACTCATAGCCCCAGTCCGGGCGCACACGGACATATTTTAAGTCTGCTTTAACATCAATCATGGTAGAGTAATATCTGCTCAAACACTTTCCAATCTATAGGCCGTTAGGTTTTTGTCGCAGTTCAATCAATATTTAGCGATATTAAACCATATGTTAAGGGCAGGTAGACCATACAATTATAAGCCCAGTGCTACAGCCCATGTTTTTCATTAGGATTAGGGAACAGTAATCATAGATTTTGCCCATGATTACTATAATTTCTCCATGATTCCCCCGAAGTATATTACGGAGTGGGGTATTTTATTTTGAACATGTATTCCCCATGTTGGGTCACGGCCAGAACATGTTCGCACCACTACCCGATAATTGAAGACTGAACGCGATTTTCGCCTGTCGGACCCTCATACTGCATGAGCAATACTACCACGTGTCATAAATGATGTCCATGTATTTGCCATTAATAACTATGGTAAAACATATTTCCAGGACGATATATAATTTGAGGAGTGAGAGAATAGCTGGGGTGTCGGTCAGCTCTCCCCTCTTATCTTGCATGATCCAGAACTACTTAGTATAATATAGTGAAACGCGCAATGTGTATGCATCCATCGTGTTAGTGGTGCATCTTAGTCCTGCTCACCTTTACTCGCATCGCTAAAGTCCACCACGGTCCGAAGAACTTGTTGTCAGTCTTATCATCACCAACGTCTCGGGTTGACCCCCGCAATATCATCGGTGTTCTGAGCATTTGGTACGCCATCAAGCACAGCCTCGGTCATCATCACTCCCAGAAGATACTTGCAGCTCAGCGTCATCGAGCAGATTGTCCGCGTCGCTACTGCTACTTGACAATACTTCCATGTACAGGGCTCTTAACATGCTGGCGGTATAGAACCATGATGCTGTAACATCAATACATGGGAGAAACATGGAGCAAACATGGAAGACCTATTTAGTCTGACTATCTATCATCGCCACGAAGGTCATGGATCAAACATACCTGAACGGAAACTCCAGCGAGTACCAAGTGACAGTAATGCAGTGGTTACGAAGTGACATTAGTATACAAGGAGTCAGCTAAAGAGTTAGTTGTCGAACATGCATCGCATGGTAACATCGTATTAGATGTGTCATACCGTTTCGTAGAGAACTCTGGTCGTGCTTCGCAACTGCTTCACGGTGATGTATTGCGCGTGTGAGCGATTCTGGGCGAGCTGCAGGCATTTCATCAGCAAAAGCTGCATCCATATCCAATCAACAAGCATATTTGCACCTCTTCGAGGTTTCTCTACTTCGGAGCCTTTAAAGCGAACACATAGACGATTAGGGGCCAGGAATCAGGCTCTAGGGCGGATGAGACGCCTCTACAGCTCAACACAACATGATTCAGCAGCAGGAAGAGTTAGTTTGCGTCCTGTACGCGTCAATGAAGATGATGGAGCATAATAGATTATGCGTACCTGCGGGCAGACGTGGGGGGGGAGCAGAGGGGCCGCTGTCGGCTGGCGGGGGTCTCGGGGTCTTGCCAGGACGCGCAGGGCAGCAGTGGCGAGCGGTGTGCCTTCTCGTGACGCGTGTCAGACAAATGACTGGCTTTCCCGCCTGTATTTAAAACGAAAAAGTATTTTAAATTACAAACATGGTCAGCCATGGGCCAAATCATATATAAATCATAGTGTAGAAATCTTGGGCTGTAGATTTGCCGCAGTTATAAACAGTTGGACACGTTCTTGTACGCAAAGATGCGCTATTAATAGAAGCGCTACGAATTCAAAGAGTCGGAAGATAGGTTTAAATTCAAAAAAAACTAGACCATAAGTGAAAACCAACGGTTCTTATTGACCAATCAGCGATTAAGTAAGAAATAAACCAATAATTACGAATAAAATAGCTGAAATTAAGATTGTAAGATAAAAATTAACCATACAGCTGTCCGTACCCGAGCGTCACCGCATCGGCAGCGATTACCATCGACATAGGCATTCGCCCATTGACTGCAACATTTCTTGAAACGCGCAGGAGCTCGTAGTCATTGCCACCACCGCTAATCAGCATAGATTTCATGATCTTTTGCAAAGTGACAAAGCACTTGTCAAGCAGGTGCCACCTAAGCTCGTCTGTGGTGTAGCGGGATCAGCAAAATCTGCGAGATTGCTGGATCCAGCTTACCAACAGCGCCCAGACACCGACTAACGGAGGGGGTCCCCCGATGATCCGTGATCTACTGAACTTTCTTCACCTTGTGTACCCGTCGGTAGGGTGGAATCTTGCTCTCTCAGTAACTTCCGAAGAGTTCAAGTGGTGAAGCTTGAGTGTCTTGACGAGACGTGGGGATGGGGTGGAGCAGTAGTGGTAAGAACTTAACTCTGCGTCCGTAGTTGTTTCTGGATCCCAAGCGAATATTCGAGCTTGGTGAGTTCAGGACCTAGATCTGGGATCTGGCCGTAGGGTTGGCTTGCGGGTGTGTTCCTTTGCGTTTTCCTTTGGGTCGTACTTGCCGCCCCCTGTGGCGGGATCTTGAGAGTTGAGAGCCGCTTAGGTATACCCAGCCAAGTAGTAAA